GTATTATTATCAGAAAATTTATCAAAAACAAAATATATATACCATGTAAATATAATCTATAAAACGTATATGTAAATGTAAAACTTAATTTAACTTGGGTAAGTAAATAAATTAAATACGAAAAATGATCGTGGTTAGTACTGATTCATATCACTCTGGCGGTATTATCAATAATGATAATGATAATATGAATTTCGTTCGATTTACACGGTAAAAGTGTAATCAACAACAACAAGTTATGTATGGTCAAAAATATTAAAAACAATCTAAACCAATGTAATCTCATCAGGTTTTCACTGTAAAAAACTATTCGAATTTTTTTATTAAACCCTCTTCAATTTTATAGATTATATCTTATATTAGAAATACCTGGACGAAATTGAAGTATGTTTAAAAAGTATTCGCGTCGCAATTTACCATCATCCAAAATATATCTAGGTCACAATTTACATAGTATTTGATTATGACCTTTTTTTTTATGTCATAATTTACCCGCTAATGCCCAAAACGTTTTAATGCTTGAGATAATGCATATGTACAATAGTACATTCGCCGATTCGCCGTGAAACAAATTCGTTATTACCGTTTCGGCATGAAATAATAATAATAATAATAATTACGATTGTTTCTATTACAACTATATCTCAACAATAAACAGTCATAGGTACCCATATAGTTTGGTAAATTGGACTGTATAGTAATCAGGCCCGTATTTAGGGGGTTGGGTGGCACGGGTAGACATATGCCCAGGGGCGTCAAGTCTCAGAGGCGGCAAAATATTTTAGCAAAATTAATTTTAAAAATGATGTACCTAATGAAGAAAAAAAATAAAACAATAAAAAAAGAAATAAGTATGTTTTATTATGTTATAATTTGTAAATTAAAAAAAAAATTTATTTTTATTATATTATAATTTTTTAATTAAAAAGAAAAAGGAAATTGTATGTTTTATTATGTTATAATTTGTTAATTAAAAAAAGTATTAAACGATTTTTATTTTTAAGTTATATTTTAATATTAAAGAATTTCGATTATAGACGAAATCATAAGTATTATACTATTATTATTATTTTTTTTTTTTTTTTTTGGGGGGGGGGGCATAAATTATATGCCCGGGGGCGCTAAATTTTTAAATACGGACCTGATAATAATACAATGTATTGCTTATTATGTCATCTTAGTTAATTGAAAAACGGTAAAATGTATACACATACATTGCTAGACACACAATTGAAGATATTTGTACATGGACCTAGTGACGGGAAAATCATGGTAATAAATAACAATGAAAATTGAAATACCTACATGTATATTTTTTACATATTGTATAAATAAAATAATAAGTAAATAAATAATAAAAAAAAGTTTTATACATTATAATATTTTATTTTTAATAAATTAATTGATGAATTAATGATATTAATGATATAATTATTATTAATATTATTATTATTATTTCACAGCGAAATAGTCTAACGCCGAAATGGCGACGACGAATTAGTTTCACGGTAAAACGGCGACGGTGAACTGTCCGGCACCTACAACACACACAGTCGATCAATATGACGGATTATAAAATCTTTTCAAGATAATTTACGTCTATAGTTTGACTTAAATATAAATTACAAATGTTAAACAAGCATCTATTATACAAAACTGTTAATACAAAACAAAATATTTTTGTGTTCATAAATAGTTATAGCATATAACCATTTTTTTTAAATGATTTTTTTCACTTTTACTCAATTAATATCAAACATATTAAAAAAATGATATTTTTACTATATCACAATTCAGATTAGTTATTTTCAAAATTGGTCTTGGTCTTGCGGCTCACAAGACTCTTGCTGTAAGACCATGACCAAAACAAGATCATCACTGCAAGACTCTTGCAGTTTTACAATTCCCCCCCTCCCCCCGAAAATACATTAGTTATCTATATTTCATTAACTAATAAATTATAACGAAAATAATAAGAAATTAGTTGTATTGTTATTAAATTTGATCAGTATTCGAGGAAATAACGAATTATTGAAAAAAATGATTAGAAATAATTAGAATTAATATTACAAAATAATATTTTTGTTATAATTGTTTCATATTTAGTAATTACTGAAAAATTATTTTTTTTTCCCAAAATCGATGAAAACGTCGAAAGTTGTCTTCTCATAGAATAATTGACTTATGTCCATAATACATCTCTACTTTGAATCGAATAAACTAAAAATTGCTGGAAGTCTTTACGGACTACGGTATATATAATTTTGATTGGAAGTACGTTTTTATTTTCGTTCGTAGCTTGTGCGATTTTTCCGTACTAGACATTATGTACTTAAACTAGTGTTTTATACAGCATATCATTTTATTACTGTCGTAAAACATTTAGTACTACTGTACTGGACACAGGTGAATAACAGAAGAATAAAAGCTTAATTATAAATAATACATATTATTATCATTAAACCGAATATAATTATTAAGCAATTTAATATTTGAAACAAACCATACAGTTTGTTTTATTATTACTATTTGTTAAAGTGAACATTAAAAAACAACAATTTAATTTTTATAAACATTATATTGGTCAATAATAAGTAATTAGTAATTAAAATAGTAATTGACTTCTTGATATTTATTATAAATATAATAGGAACTTAAAAAGTTAATTATGGTGGTAAATTAATTCATCAAATACAAATAAAAGTAATATAAACATAATATTTTAAAATGCAAAGTTTTAAACAATTACCAACAATGAAAATTAAATGTTTGATTGTTTTATATTATTAATATACTATATAATATATTGGACTTAAGTTTCATCTTAGAAGTCATAGCAAAAAACCTACACAGCTATAACAGGAAGATATTTAGTTTTTTTTTTATATTTTGTAAAAATAGCAAAAGTCTTTCAAGAGTCTTACACAAGACCAAGACCAAGATTTTGAAAGTCTCGATCTTGGTCTTGTTTTGATCATCACTTATCCAGATAATCAATTATGCATATGCATATACTCATTTCACTCGTAAATATATTATAAATAGATAATAACATAATAATGAATTAATATACAAGTGATTTAATTATAATTACTATAACAAAAATCATAATATATTTTATATGTATATATTAAAGTGTAAGCTGTCAAGTTAAAAATTATATTATTAATAATTTATAAGATACGAATGCATTGTGTTCTATAAACATAAAAATATAAAACAAATTACTATAATTTATATGTTTTTTAAGTTGTTTGTCAAGTGTATACTACTTTTGTACGGGTGTAAAATAGTTTAAACAATTCATACATAAAGCTCCTACCATGTACTACCTACATTTCAAAAGAAACTACAAACCATGTGCACATAAAGCAAAAGCTTTCAAAAGTTTATATTTATACTACCACAACTTATTCGTACAAAACACATTAAATATCATTTAAATTAAATTACCTAATATCAAATTGGTATGTATAAATTGTATGTTAGACATGGTTAGGTTTTCATTCATTATAACACAGATTAATGTGATGTAAACCAGTACTAATCACGATAATTTTTCGTATTAACGGATTTTGCAAAATTAAAATCTAATTGTTTTCTAGTTAAAAAAAAAAAAAAGTGGTATGTTGATATAGTAACAAACAGATTATAAAATTATGTTTATAAATGCATAAGCACTATTGTTCATAGTTCTTTAAATTATTATAATAATAAGTCATTTATTAGTAAAGTAAAATATAAAATTATTATAAAATCAAATAAATTATAAAAATGCATACACAAATGAAGTCATATGACGAATGAGAGAAAAGACATGTTAGAAAATCTACATGGTAGCAATAAGTGACATTATTAGCATATTTTCGAAATAAAACACGAACAACGGAAAAAATAGCTTTGTGTATCAGTTGACCATGTACTTTTACATATTATAAAATCAGCATGTACATACATGTGTACGGTGAAACTATTCATTTGACACAAATTATAAACCAAATTAACCATAATTTACTTATCTTAGCGATGCTGTTGCGTGTCTGATCGAAAACAACGTACTGTCACGCGGAGTACGCGTGATCGTAACTTTTATTCCGATACCTTAACAGGGGTTTCTTTTTTCCGTGTTGTGGCTTATCACAAAGTACAACTATTCCCTATTTAATATTTCTTGCTTAGTCAGATAACACTTAATACCTAATATTCAGCACTCGTAACTGCGAGTCTTCCTGTTAATCATTGTAATCCAATAATTCGGAGATATGAAATTGAAGTCACTGTCACTTCCTGATTTATCTTATAGGTTGAATGCAGTAAGCTACTGTAGTTTCAGACTTTGTAAACATTACGATATCTTTACAGTGCCTACAATGTAGTTTTCACATATCACACGATATTGAATAGTCGATAAATGATCCTGCTCCCCTCTCCTTTTATCGTTCTCTAGGAAACAATACCAGGTCATTTCCGAGCTAAGTAAAAATATAGAATTAATAATGTTATCACAACATTTTAGGCAGTAGACGCTCTTGGTTTCATACGCTATTGTGATCAACAGCAGTAACGCAATGTTCACGGATATCGTTGTTTTATGTAGATCTTACGCTTAAATTTGTCCCCACCCCACCCCCGTTTTCCTATCGCTGAGAGACGAGTAATCGTGACAGACTTTACATCGGTGTTCACACCAGCTACTGCTAAAGGGCAAATGTCTAGCTACCATGCCCAAGTCCGAGGGTTCAACACCACCGTCACCAGAAATTATCGTTCGTCCGCGGTACGCGTAGACAACAATCGGATGGAATCTACATGGATTATTAACATTTTACGGACGGTACGATGGGATTGTTGAAAAATCCCCACTCAAAGCACCTACACACACCTGTATGGCTTGTACCATAGTACTAATATGACGAGGCGCCGCACAGACCGACCAATAACGGCACATGGTCCGACTGTGCGTATACAGGTGAGTGACAAGCGGAAGGTTCGACACGTACCTGATTTGTCGGGTTGTTCGAACGTCGGATCGGATGCGGCGACGAGGACGGCAAAGGTGACTGCGGCGGCGACGACGACGGTGGGTACCATCGTCACTGCTGCGGTGGAGGTTGGAAGTGCGGGCGACCGCAGGAAGACGGTGACATGTAACAGAGGGACTCGCGGGACGGGAACGCACCACCGGTTGCTACGAAGTCACAGGGCCGACAGTAATTCCGTGGGCGCAGGCAGGGTCAAGAGCGTGCGGACGGGACCGACGTCGGCGGAAAACTGGCACGTTGATTTCCCGACCGCGAACGAAAAACGCTTTTCTTGACACACGCACACACGCACACGTGCGGGCGCATGCGCTCGCGCCCGCGCACGCACACTGTTGCCGACCACACACGCAAGCGTAAATCTCCGCGTCTATAACACTCACCCCCGAACGCCCACACACGCGCATCGGCCGGTGACGGTATTAGTGGTAGTAGTAGTGGTGGTTGACACTAATCCGGTTAAGAAGTCTGACGGACTGTTATTTTCGGAAACTTCGCAACTCGATTTGCCGCCCATTCACGGCTATACAATGAAGTCAATCATTACTTTTTATATTATTTCCCCCGACGTCTCCTATCTCTCCATCATCTGCGCCGAATACATACTTCATTCCGCGAATCTTTAGTTAAACATTTTTTTTTTCCTCTCTCTCACTCTCTCTCTCTCTCTCTTCCTCCAAACGCCCCATGATTACGATATTATCATTCACTACGCACGCACACAAGTACCTGTGATGTGCTCTAATCGCAAATAAATCCCTTTAAATTCATTCGACGCGCACGATATTAAATCGTATAACATTATTGATCCTCACACTTTTATTTTAATTCAAACAATCGCATTATGTCACCTGGTATCAAAATATTTAACGAGACAATCTGAAACGAACGTTTTTTACACAACATTCCGTGACTACCTACTTATCACGCGTACAGTTTGAACCATGAATCGAACATGTCATTGCATACTTCCGCTATTTTCTCGTGGAATCAAAATCATTCTGCGTTAGAAAATGTATAAATTCCCAATCGAGATCAGAATCACATACTATAGTGTCTTCCATAATAATAATCAAATATAAAATCAACACGTACATTCGATTCCGCACGATAAAATTTTATAAAATCATTATGCGTCCTGTTCTCAGTTATTGAACTCCGTGATATCTGTTGCCGGTGATTCTCTATACTATGCAATACTTCAAGTTTACGATATTCGTGAATGAAAAATAGTTAACGCCGACAGAATATCTAAAGTAGGTTTGAATAGACGTTTCATATCAATATGAGATTCCAGGCAAATCTTTTTTTTTCTGTCGTTAAAAGCATTGTTAATCAAATCGTATTTCATCAAGTCTCGAAGAATAAGAAAAATATAATTGTCGGAATTAAAATATTGAGTTTATGAAAAAGACCGAATGAAGCAAGCGGATCTCTGAAGTACTTTGTAATTCTCGTGTTGGCCAACTAAACCTAACATAAGCCATGAACTCTACTTACTATATGCTCCAATACAAAATGACGTCTGTGAACTACATTAACGATATAATCTGGGTCCACAGCGTAAACATTAACGTGAGTCCACAAAGGTCAATGTAAATACCGTTGAAGAAAATTCCGCACAGAAAATCTATGACATGAGGAGTATATCTAATTAATTGAACAATTTTGCCAACACGAGAGCGACTCCTTATAGATTTGATCAATTTAATTAATTGTATGCATGCGTTTTACTTTTTTTGTTAAATTAATAACTTAGAATGAAGTAGAATCATTTTCCAAAGAAAATTCAATAAAAACCAATAGTTACACAAAAGTTAAGTCTCCCCGTAAATTTTATTCACGAACCGCTATTGGGTACCTACGTCATTTTTAAAATTAATTTTGCTAAAATATTTTGCTATCCTTGAAACTTGACACCCCCGGACATGTGCCTACCCGTGCCCCCTCTAAATACGGGCTTGATTACCGTTATTTTGAAATAATTGACTATTGACTATAGAATTACTATGGTTGATCGTTATCATATGACCATACAACACAAAATTTAGGGAAACCCATCAATCATAATGTATCATTATAAATAATATTATATCGATTACAATACTTACAAACACGCATTATTTTTACGAAGTATTGCCATCATGGAATTTCAAAAATTTAAGTTTTGAGTACCAATACCATTTAGAACGTTTGGAAAATTACAAATTATTACAAATTTATTTTTCTTAACAAAACTTTTTTTTTCTAGCATATTTTAATCATATTTTGAACAATTCATTTTTTTAAGGTACATAAGGTAGGATAACTACGTTTGAAATTAATCATCCATTCATTTTTGGGGGGGGGGGGGTGAACCCCCCAAAACCCCTCCCTGCGTCCGCCACTACTAAGAAAATTAAGCTTTGTCATTACCAAAACTATCACTATATAAGGAAAACAAGTATTATAGAAGTAAAAAATATTATCATATCCTTAAAATGTGGCACAGCACCGGGCTATGATAATATTACAACAGACATAGTTAAGTAGTTTGACGATAAGGCACTGGTGCCATTGATTAATATTATAATAAACACCATAATAAATACAGGGATAAATCCTGAAAGCTTCAAAATAGCAATAATTACAACAATCCATAAAAACGGTGATAAAAACAACATATAAAATTATAGACCAGGGGTGGCCAAATCACGGCTCGCGAGCCGCATGCGGCTCTCGTCACAGTCGTATGCGGCTCGCGGTCTTATTTACAAAAACCAAAATATTTAAATTTTTTTTGTATACATTTATAAAAAAATGTTTTTATTGTATTTATTTAAGGCTTTAGTATTATAGTGGATAGAATATAGATTAAATCAAACAAAAAAAAATTAATTAATATGAATAATAAATTAAAAAATTAAACATTAAGCTAATTTTGTTTGCGTGGTATTTTTTTCGTGTCTACTTTTTTAGTAAGCTTCTTAAGATCTGGTTGAATTGATGTAAGAGCAGTTCTTAGTAATTCTGTAAGATGATCATCAGTCAAATTTGAACGATATTTTGATTTAATTATTTTCATTGTTGAATAAAGTGATTCACATGAATACGTCGTTCCAAAAATTGATATCAATTTTACCGCACAGTTTTTAATATTTGGGTATTTTAATATAGAAATATGCTTCCAAAATTCCAATATAGAGGGACAATTGTTTATAAACTGCTTAAGACCTTCATCTTCTAATAACTCCAAGAGTTCTATTTCGAGATCCGCTTTATTTGTGATGATTGGATGTGATAATGGACATCCCTTTTCAATGACATTAACCAAAAATGGATTTTCTAAAAATCCGAATGAGGGTTTTAATGCCTTTAGGTCTCGAAATCGTTCTTCGAAGTCAGTAAATAGAAATTCAAGTTTAAGTACATAGTCGTCACAATTAATTTTTATTTCTGATTCTATCAGGGACGCTTCTATTTTTTCTAAACATGAAAAGTGAGTAAAATTGTTTGATTGTAAATCTCGTATGAAAAGTTTTAGTTTATTTTGAAAACTAAATACTTTTTGCCCTAGGTCATTAACTAATTTATTTTGACCTTGAAGAGATACATTTAATGTTGATAAATGTTGCATGATGTCGGTGAAAAATGCCAAATCTCTTAACCAATTTGAATTTGAAAGTTGAGGAAAACTTTTATTTTTTTCTATTAAAAATACTTTGATTGGTTCTATTAATTGAAAAAATTTAGTTAAAATGTTATTGACCGACAACCATCTAACTAGACAATACCATGGGACATCATTAGGAATATCATCTTCTATGTCTTCCAGAAAGTTTTTAAACTGCCGATGTCTTTTTGCACTTGAACGTATGTAATTTACAATTTTTAAAACAACATCCATCACATGATCATATTTAAAATATTTAGCAGTTAGGTGTTCTCTATGTAGAATACAATGAATAGGTATAAAATCTGGGAAATTAGTATCATTTTTTAAAAGTCCTATTAATCCATTTTTACAACCCACCATACTAGGAGCTCCATCAGTTGAAATGCTTATAATTTTGTTTAGTGGAATTTCAGCTTTTTGTAGAGTTTCATCGAGAGCAATCTTAATGTCAATACCCCGAGTAGTTTCCTTCAATGAAATTAGATCTAACAACTCTTCTTTCACATCTACATCACTCGTAACATAACGAACAAATATGGCTAACTGAGGTTTATCTTGGATATCGGTAGATTCATCTAAAGCTAGACTAAGAGATAAACAATTAGCAATGTTGTTTTTTAAATTGGTGAAAATATCAAAGCTAATTGTTGAAATACACCTTTCTATTGTATGTCGTGATACTGGTACATTTTCAACCATTTTTAAAAGTTTTTGATTTTCAGGATTTAAAACAGAAATTACATCTAAAATATTTTTTTTTATATACTCGCCGTCCGTATACGGACGTTTTGCTTGAGCAATATTAAAGGCAATTACAAAACTTGCTTCTACACAGTCGTCTGCCTCGTTCGTAAACATTGTCATAACATTAGTTTGTTTAGCAAATTTTAATTTCATCGAACATAGCTTATTTTTCCTCGAATCAGAACCAATAGGAAATTCTCGACTAAATGTGCTGTGATTGGTTTCGTAATGCCGTTTTAAATTACTAACCTTAAATTGTGATAATGTAACTTGACATATGACACAAAATGGTTTATCGTTTTTCTGTATGAAAAAGTATAGTTCTTCCCATTCTAATTTAAATTCCCGTTTTTCTTCTTCATATTTACGTTTAACCGCTTTATTAGAAATTGACATCGTAACTAACTTTCGCAATAAGTATCGGTAAAATATTACAAATATAATTATTAAATATTACAAATATTTTACAAAACAAATTGAGGTGTTTACAATAGGACTATTCAACACAGACTACAGACTATATTAAAAACGATATAATTTCATATTTCGTAATTTGATATGTTTATAGGCTGTTTGCTATCTTTATTACTTTTGTGGTATAAAAGTACACATTAGATAATTTGGCTCTTGATATAATTTTATTAATACATGTGGCTCGCGTACATAGTCATGTTGGCCACCCCTGTTATTGACCAATACAACTCTCAACAACTTTTTCTAAAATATTTGAAAAGGTAATAAAATTAATATTGACTAATTACCGTAAAGAAGACCAAATATTACACAGTTAGAAAAAATACTCGTGGATGGTCAAGACTAGTTGGCAGGTGGAAAAACCTAAATGT